GAAGATACTACTGCTCAATTTAAAATGAGAAATGGGTGAACATCTCGTCTGCTGGGTCTCATTATAACCCTGCCTTGTGACAGACACCACATTACCGCATCGAAAGAGACCCTTTAAAAAGGGGGGATTTATTTTGTGGAATGAATTACCAAGTATAATTAAAGCTTTAATCTCCTTTTTCCCCTCAACAAAACAATTTTGTACGAACCCAGAGAAGCAATCCAAAATTAATTTACCGCACCAGTGATTAGTATTAATGCTTTGCCATTTTTTCCCTCTCTTCCGTCGCTTGGCTCTCTCTTGCGCCTAGCTCAGATGAAAGGATAAAGCCTGTTGTTACATGCGATATTCATGTGTAATTAACACAATTCTTGCAGAGCACGTGGGGCAGGCTAGCATGTACTCTTAATAGCTTTCATCCCGGGACCGGCAGCTTTTGTCTCCCTCTGGCAGGGTTAGGGTTGTGTCTGAAACCTAGCGTGTCTAGCCTTTTTTCAATCATAATGTAAGACTAGACTGAACCAACTGCTACAGCGACCATGAATGCATATATAAACTCAGGGGTTTAGATCCATGTGGAGCTGTTTTTATTGGCTTTTTTGTAAGATGGGATGGAGAAATGTCAAGATGCGTGAACTGCCCCTTGGGTCTTTATGCTGTTATATGGTTGAAGCATTCTACTGTGTTAAATTTGAGCGTGTGAAGATGTGTGTGCTCGGGTATGACTGGAATCTCTCTCTTTTTTTGTTTTCTCTAATCCTATATCATGTAGGTTTGCATTTTAACACTACTAATACTCTTTTCATTAGATTACAAATAACAATATTGGCATTTAAAAGAGACGAATAGATAAAAAAAGATGTTTGTATTTCTGCTCTTCCACAGCAATCTTCTTATTTGTTTCTTTTTCACCAGAGGAACCTCTGGCGACCTCCAGATGAGGAGTAAAGTCTTCTTTGATTGGACGAGACCTTCCATAGCCTGTGTAATGAGGGAATGACAAAGTACTGAACCATGGGATCAATGTTGGAGGTGGAAAGCTGTTCGTTAGCGTAGGTATGTGAACGTCTTTGTGCTGTTTTGTAGGGTGCAAGGGGGATCGATGGTGCGTTTGCTTTGTGTAGGTAAATGATCATTGTGGAGATGGACAGGACCACTTTGTCTTGTGGCCCTAGGGGAACAAAAGACAAATTGGTCTAGAACTCCCATCATCCCTTTCACTCTCAATTCTACAACTTAACACTGGCAGTGATACATACGAAGGTGCTGCAGCAACGAATCAGGTCAAATATTTCACAGCAGTGCTTATAGTTGATCAAAGGGTACTTTTTAGATGGAATTTATTTCCAGACAGTCATTGTTTAATAATTGATTTACTGCGTTTAAGAAACTAACACCTTTAGAAGCAGATGTGTGGAAAAAAAGAGGTTGGAGATTAGAGAACTTATTTATACAGCATTTTGTTCTGGTTTATGATTTTCGTCTTGTGTTTGTGTTGTTCAGACATATTATTAATGAGAATTTATCAATGGCTGCATTAAAATCCCAGATTATTTTGAGTAGGCACTTATTTTGAATCAGAATTTGCTTTGTTATTGCCAAAAGTATGATTTATGTAGTGTTAATTAATCCCGATCCATTTAGCAATGAAACGGACCTTTATGAGTACGCCATTGACTTATTCACTCATTAAAATAAAGATTGAACCAGGGAAATGGACTCTATTTATCAACTCTGTGTACACTTTAGAATTTTATTTGCAAGTAGTAGGTCATCTGGGTGCTTTATGTCTACTTGAAAACAATGTATATAAATATGCAGGTTCTATAACTGAACCAGTAGAGTAGGGACTGTCTGCGGATTGCAAGACAGGGGCGTAATATGAAGGGGCATAACTTGTAGTACATTAGAGGCATAACTTGAAGCTAGAGTGGAGACCCACATGTCAAAACTATGTTGTCGGCCAGGTGGGGGAATACATCAGTTATTAACATCTACACCTACTCCACACCTTAACCCAATCATCACAGTTATTAATGTCTTCTACCCCAACCCTTAACCCAACCATCACAGTTATCAGCGTTCACACCTACCCCAACCCTTAACCCAAACAACATAGTTATTAATGTCTACACCTACCCCAACCATCAGAGTTATTAATGTCTACACCTACCCCAACCATCACAGTTATTGTCTACACCTACCCCAACCATCAGAGTTATTAATGTCTACACCTACCCCAACCATCAGAGTTATTAATGTCTACACCTACCCCAACCATCAGAGTTATTAATGTCTACACCTACCCCAACCATCACAGTTATTAATGTCTACACCTACCCCAACCATCAGAGTTATTAATGTTTACACCTACCCCAACCATCACAGTTATTACAGTCTACACCTACCCCAACCATCACAGTTATTAATGTCTACACCTACCCCAACCATCACAGTTATTACCGTCTACACCTACCCCAACCATCACAGTTATTATCGTCTACACCTACCCCAACCATCACAGTTATTAATGTCTACACCTACCCCAACCATCACAGTTATTACCGTCTACACCTACCCCAACCATCACAGTTATTAATGTCTACACCTACCCCAACCATCACAGTTATTAATGTCTACACCTACCCCAACCATCACAGTTATTAATGTCTACACCTACCCCAACCATCACAGTTATTAATGTCTACACCTACCCCAACCATCAGAGTTATTAATGTCTACACCTACCCCAACCATCACAGTTATTAATGTCTACACCTACCTAAACTATCACAGTTATTAACGTCTACACCTACCCCAACCATCACAGTTATTAACGTTTACACCTACCCCAACCATCACAGTTATTAATGTCTACACCTACCTCAACCATCAGAGTTATTAATGTCTACACCTACCCCGACCATCAGAGTTATTAATGTCTACACCTACCCCAACCATCAGAGTTATTAATGTCTACACCTACCTAAACTATCACAGTTATTAACGTCTACACCTACCCCAACCATCACAGTTATTACCGTCTACACCTACCCCAACCATCACAGTTATTAATGTCTACACCTACCCCAACCATCACAGTTATTAATGTCTACACCTACCCCAACCATAACAGTTATTAATGTCTACACCTACCCCAACCATCACAGTTATTAACGTCTACACCTACCTAAACTATCACAGTTATTAACGTCTACACCAACCCCAACCATCACAGTTATTAATGTCTACACCTACCCCAACCATCACAGTTATTAATGTCTACACCTACCTAAACTATTACAGTTATTAACGTCTACACCTACCCCAACCATCACAGTTATTACCGTCTACACCTACCCCAACCATCACAGTTATTAATATCTACACCTACCCCAACCATCACAGTTATTAATGTCTACACCTACCCCAACCATCAGAGTTATTAATGTCTACACCTACCCCAACCATCACAGTTATTAGCGTCTACAACTACCCCAACTATCACAGTTATTAACGTCTACACCTACCCCAACCATCAGAGTTATTAATGTCTACACCTACCCCACCCATCACAGTTATTAATGTCTACACCTACCCCAACCATCAGAGTTATTAATGTCTACACCTACCCCACCCATCACAGTTATTAATGTCTACATCTACCCCAACCATCATAGTTATTAATTTTTTTACACCTACCCCAACCCTTAATCCAACCATCACAGTTATTGATGTTAAGAATTTCCACCATCTTGCCAAACAACATCTCGTTGTGACATCTATCTCGCATGGTTCAAAGGGATCTTGATAACTGCAAGTTACGCCTCTAACTTACTACAAGTTACGCCCCTTAATGTTATGCCCCCATCTTGCGGTTCGCAGAGAAATACACTTGAACCAGTAGGTGCAACGAATCAATAAAAATAAGTGATATATTCCAAAATGCATTCATGTGAATAATTCAATCACACACTAGGAAAATGATACAGTTATTATCTCGTAGTATTTCCTGACATTTTTAATAATTTTCTTGAATCCGCTTAGAAGTTTTGATAGTTTTATTTTGTCTAAATGTGAAATATTTCAAAAATGCAAGTACATTTAAGTACACTTTTGTTGTAAATGTACCTACATGGTAAAAGTGTTCTAGCACTTTCTGCTATAGATGAGATATATACTGTATGCTATATATATGATTTTGCATTCACAAACATGTTTATTTTTTAAACAAAAACTCTGTTTGTAATGCCCCCATGTGAAACAGTAAAATGTATGATTGACCAATCAGAGCGATGTGTGAAAACAGTGTACTTTCAGTGAACATGCGCACTGAGAAAATGCCCTCATAACTGAGACACCACATAAATATGCCAAGCTCAGATATTTGAGTCTCTGTTATTGAAGAAAGAAATATTTATTTATAACCATATTAATCATGATAGTAATAATAATAATCATAATCATAATAATATAATGATTTCATTAATAAACAGTACTGGTTGTCTGAAGCACATTGGATGCATACAGAAAGAAAACTGAAATTTCGAGTACAGATCCAGGACAGCAGAAGTTTCGTCATTTCATTTTAAATAGAATACTTTATACTGGTTTCTTTTTTTTTTTTTTTTCTTTAGTGGTTATTTTTTTCTTCACGCTTATGTATTTGGAACAACTTCAAAATTTAAAAAACAATGAAAGAAAAATGAAAACAACAAAAGAAAACCCCAAATGATAGATTTGTTGTAGCATAGAGCTCGTGTTGCACATGAAGAGAACCTTTAATATAATACATTTTATATTGAGATGACAGGAAGTAGCTTTTTGTATATTTTCAGTAGAAAACAAAGGGGCTGGAAGCACACACGTACACACGCGCACGCATACACACTACATGGAAGGTAACTATCACTGAGACAACTAACTTGACTTCCATTCAAACTCTTGTGCTTCGGGGATCTGGCAATGACGATGAGGAAAATCAGGTTGGCAGGAGTTTGTTTTTTTTCTTCTTTTGTTATGTTCTTTTCGTGTTGGGAAAAGCAATTGCCAAGATAAGTTTGTCGTTTCCATTGGCTTGACTGTTTAAATGAAGTTCAAGAGAACTGTGCAGACAGAGGTGAGCTGCATAGCTGGTCTTCCACCTGCCCTGACAGAGCAGACGACCAGTGTAGATTTGAAGGACGGTTTGGATGAAGGAACAAGTGGCAGATACATGCGCTTGAGTTTCATCGTAGTTCTGACAATAGACTATAAGCAGACTACAGTTTGCATTGGTTCTCTGCTTTGGGTCGAGGAAGACGGCGAATGACTTTGGTGCTCAGGTCAATGGGCTGCTTGAGAGGAAAACAGAGTAGAGGGAAGACAACAAGCCAAAGAATACAGTGCAAAAGCTGACACATACCTCACAGCAGGGTGGAAAAAACCAGGACATGTAAACAAGTAATGTCTCATACGGACTAAAGCAAAGGAATAAACCCAGAGGCCTATCGGATCTCTGTTGAATTGACATCTTTTTGTTAGGTTGTTCAGTCACAGTCTCTTCCGCCACTCGGATTTTAGAGTCCCTGAAACAACACGTCTTCGCCGAACGTTCGCATCTGATGATCCTTCGGGTAACAAAGTTGTACAGTCGCTGAGATAGGAGTCACCAGCTTTGTAGAAAAGAAAGTTCTGAGAGGAAGAATGCAGCAAGGAAGGAGTTGTAACATCATTACCTATGGAAGGGAACGCATCAGTTCTGTCATGTAACACCTGAGTCCGAGGAAGCGCATGATTTTGCAAAGCTTGGGAATGCTCTGTAGAGGTGGGCTATCTGTTAAATGTACCACATCCCTTCTCACTGAGCCGAAACACACACACTGTAAAAAGCGTGAAAACGTGCAGTTGTTATTTTAAAGATGTAGTTCTACCCAATCCGATTGGTTGTTTTCAGCTTAACGCAGCCTGGCGGATTCAGTCCAGTTGAATATGAAAATGCTGACCTGAATAAAACCAGATGTTACTAAATCAAACACATTTTTAGGTAACCCAACAACATTTTTTTTTCCTTTTTTCTTTTTTTTTGTACAGTGCAGGATAACATACTGCCGTTTTCAACATTGATTATTGAGTGACAGGAGGCTTTGAATGTGGCTCGACTGTTCACCGCTTGCATAAAGAAAAAAAGAAAGTGGTTGTCGATAAAAACCACAGAGCATCTTTCGGCTCCGTCTTATCCAATCGTTTCATGTCTTTCTACTATTGTCCGTTGCAGGGTCATGATAATGTCCGTGGGCCAGCTGGAGTGCTCCTGTTAGAAAAGAGATTTGTCAGCTGGACCGTATCTCCGTCGGGCTTCAGAAACGAAGACTCGCTTTAGCATGTCCACACATTTACAAAGTACTGCTTAAAAAACAAAGACATGTACATAAAAAGTTGAATTACATTCAGTAGCTGAACCAAATATACAGACGAACAGAACCAACGCCACACAGATCTCTCAGTACTTGCATAAATCGCCGTCGAAAATAAACCTGGACCACCATCGATCAACAAAACAAAAGGAAACCAAACCAAATCAAATCAAACCAAAAACGGTACAATCCTCTTGAAGGGTCACAAATAGATATATCCATATATAAATGTTTTTCATACTGGTAATACAATAATACAACATTAGTAAATGGCTACAATCGACGTTTGACCACGCTGAGCAGCATGTAATTAGTACAACGTTTAAATATATAAGGATGTGTCACTGAAATGGAGCTCATTAGAAGTATAAAGGTAATCGATTTTTAATAAAACTTTGCTTGCACACCCTATGACTAAACTGGCACGTCGTTTTCCACCTTGCAGCGGGCAGGAACCCATTTTCAAGATGGATTGTGAAACTCCCGTGACAATACCGAGAAGACAGCTCCAATTTTCTTAATTTGTAGCCTCATGACACCACATACAAAAGTGTTTACTACACAGCACGGCCACCTCCACAACACTACAATGAAATGCTTTTTGGTAGCCCTGGGCTCCGGGGCCGCTGCGACCCAACACGACACTACATCCCCCTCCCCCCTCCCCTCTTTCGCGCACACACACACAAGCACACGCACACATCCCAGTAAAACCTGCCGGCGGGCCGATTCGTATTGTGCTACAAACAACAGCGGGATGACAGCGCTTCAGAACTGATGTTGACCGCTTTATTTACAGTGTCTTCTCTTGTCCCGTTCCATGCGACACCTGAATATCAACCTGTAAGTGGAAAATTTGGAGTCCCATGCAAGTTCGTCTGCCATCTAGAAGGATCACTGCCTGTGATGTTAGCGAGTAAAGGCCGTTTGTTTCCCTCCGGGCTCAACACATGACGAAACCTACTGATGGAAGACCCAGCTGTGCCATATATTCAAAGGCTTTGGATGAAGAGGGGCCACATGGAATCATGTCGGCCCTCCTTGACCCTCCTGGCGCAGGCCGGACAAGGAGGTTTTCGGTGGGAGGGGGGTGGGGGGTGTGAAGGATCAACATTTGTACACCCCCCACCCCCACCCCCTCCTACAGCGCTAACTCATCACTCTGTTGCTAGTTGTGTACTATTTTTTTTTCTTAGCTTCGTTTTTTTTTTGTAACATATTTATACATACATATATATCGCTATATAGATATATACACTCATCTTTTTCATCTTTTTGGAAACCATAAACTTAAAAAAGTTTAGAAAAATAAAAAGTTTTATGATGACCTCTCCTCCTCCTCCACCCCGAAAGGCTGTCCCAGGTGAAAGCTAAACCCCTTCTTTTTCATCCACAGCTTGGCTGTGTCAGTCTCGCGTCCCAACAGAGATATATAATGCCTTCTCCTGACAGCCTCGGTGTAAGGATTTCCTCTTAACTTCTTTTTGTATGTTTTTTTTTCATTGACACTCTTCTTCCTTGATCCTTTTTTGTTCCTTTTTAGCTGATGCTCTTCTCCGTTGTCTTCTAGCTTGATATTTACTACAAGTGTAAAGAGAAAGAGAGAAAACATCAGTTGATTTGCACTGGATGCTGTTGATCTGCATGCAGTTTGCTTTGACATGCACATTACAGTACAGTACAGTGGGCTCCACATGTTTGAGACCTTTAGTAAAAAGGCTTCTTTTTTTGCATTTTTATAACTTCATAAAGTTCACTTCCTTTCTAAATTATAAGTGAAGTTTATTTAGAAACTCATTTTGAAAGGATCACGTGCTTATAATTGCTTGCAGCCGGCCTCACATTATTCAATTTATGATTCACCAATCAGACGATTCCTAAGCCACTATAAATACCCTAAGCTCAATATAACAGCCATCTTCGTTTTGAAGAATCCCCCCTTCCACTCCTACTCCTTTCCTAGATGGGTGACATGGTGGCCCAGTGGTTAGCTAGTCGATGTTTCTGTGTGAAGTTTACACGTTATCCCCGTGCTCACGTGGGTTTCCCCTGGGTTCCCCGGTTTCCTCCCACCATCCAAAAACATGCAACTTAAGTTAATTGACTAATCCAAATCGGCACCATAGACATGCTCATAGTAAATAGTTATCTCTTAAGAGCAATTACTATCTGTTAATTAGCTACTACAGCAGGGGAGTTCTCAAGATCTACCTCAGCTCAAACTCCCCTCTCGCCTTGCAAATGGGAGGGAGCCCCAGACTCGAGGATCGTATGAGCTCAGAGCTCTCTGCTGGGACAGCATGCTAAACAAGCTTTGTAATCAATCATCAGCTAAGTGTGAACTCTTGAAGCACAGCAATGGAAAATTAAATGGAATCATTCCTACGAAATATTCAATATAAAAATAAAAAGAAATCAGTTGCAAATTTCATTATCAGCAAAATACTCATTTAATAATAATAATAATAATAATAATAATAATAATAATAATCTATTTACAACCTTTACCTAATTGTTTATTAAACCATATTATCATAACAGTCAAAGTGGAAAAAAAAGCCACAGAGCATTTTCAGGTTTTTGTTCTCATCCTTCACTTTTTTCCAGACCTATTTTAATTTCTTACATCTGTTGAACAAAACCTTTTGGAACCATTTTGCAATTGACTTTCATAGTATTTTTGATCCTACTATAGACGTTAGTGGCTAACTGTTTCTTAGGCCCAATCCCAAGTCTATTTTTGTTCCCCTACCCCTTTCCCTTGGCCCTTGAAACAGAGTGTGAAGGGGAAAGGCTTCAAATTTTACTCCTAAGAAATGGAACACCACTACAGCACCTGCACAAGTCATAATCTGTCATCAAGATCTCTCACTTCCTATGAGATTGATGATTATGACTGCTTTAGTTATTGGATTATTTTATGGTATTTATCTTTAGGAAATCACTCAAGACATGTTTTATGTTATCAATAAGATCTAATGTGGCAACAAGATCGTAACTGTACTGTGCATTTACACTGTGGCCATTTTCATCTATGTAAACAAACGAAAACAACAATAACATTATACCCGACACTGTTAAATGCTCATTCCCAGATGCTAGACTTTTCTGACAGGGTGTTCCTGTGTCATTGTGTCAGATGTGAAAGAATGTTGTAGGACTATTATAAATGCACTTTAAAAAATGCTGGGTTCCACAATTCATTCATGGTGTCCAAACACAAATTGATTAAGTTAACTTGACACTTCGAACAAATTCATATGGATTAAACATAAAAAAAATTAAGTCGTCCCAAATGAAATCTCAAGAATTGTGTTGTTTCAGCTCATTTTAATTCAGCAGTTTGAACAAGTAAAAAAAAATTTGAGTGTAAGTTGCTACTAGGGATTGTAGACAACGAAATTTAGCGGTGTTTATTTTAGCGTTTGTTATTTAAAAGCATGACGGTAAAACACAAAGTGGTTATGAATGTATTAAAACATGTGCTTGTCTGTTGTAAAAATACGTAATAATGACAAAAAAATAATTAGTGCATCTAAAGTAATTTGTGCATCTCCTTACTTCCGTGTGCAGCTGTCATTGTAGCTGGTGTACTCTGGGAAATTTTCATGCCCCTTGGTTTCGAGTGTGGTCATGAAAAAGTTTTGAGGATTATCTAGCCCTTCCCCTTAGCCCTACACCTTCAAGATAAAGAGAATTGGGACACTCCTACCCCTTCATGTGAACACACAAATGGAGAGTAGGGGTAAGGGGAAGGGCTAAGGGGTAGAATTGGGATTGGGCCTAATATTCTTCAAAATATTTTCCCTTTAACTGAAAAAAAGAAAGCCATAAAGCTTTAGAATTACTTAAGGGTGAGTAAATAATGAGTAAATTTTCATTTTGGGCAGAGCTGTCCCAGCAGGCAGCGAATGTCACACAGATGTAAAATTGACATTGGACTCTAACGTCAGGCTAACTTTGAATTTTAGTTGTATATAAAAATCGGGTTGACGACAGAACCCAACGTTAGTTTGAGGTCAGACTCCAACGCCAAAATGTTGGATTTTGGTTAGTTAATGCCAAAACGTAACATCAACCAAAGATCAACATCTGCTCATGTTAGATTTTAACATTGTATTGATGTCACACGACATTAAAGTGACGTTGAATTTCAGTTAGGTAATTACGCAACAAAACCAACCAAAGATAAAAGTTGACTAATGTTAGACTTTGACGTTGTATGCATGTCATATAATAAAATTAAAATGATGTTTGATATTAGTTAGTTAATGTCATAGCCTAAAACCAACTAAGCCAGCTGACGTTGGTATTGGATGTCAGCTGCCGTTGGTATTAGATAATAAATTGACATAAAATTTTGGTCGCCTGAGTTCGCAACCAAAACAGAACTAAAGATCAATGCCATATGAAGATTTGAACTTCACGTTTCTTGTTCCTCAAATAAAAACATCAAAAACATAAGATCAGTGACACAAACAGCAAACTTACAAAACCCCTCTCTTATCAGTTTCACCCTGTAATATACAATTCAATCATAAATGCCTTGTTTTACATTTCTTCTAAATCCTGCATCTTCATCTCCAGCTATATGATAGATTCTGAATCCCAGCTTTTTTTCAGTGTGATCTCAGCCTTTCTGGACTTGCGTGGTCTAAAAAGAAACTAATTACACAATCAAAATGCAAATTGTGTACCAGGAAAATATATCCTGATTACATTATGTTCCATGCACCGACTCAGTATCAGAAACAATCCTTGGGTGCAACGCTAAACACACACAATGGAATTATCTTCCAAATCCTGGATTAGAGCAACTGAAGTCAAAATAGGGCTCAGTGGGGAGAACTCGCACTACATTTTCAGCATAATGAGCGAACAGGATGATCAGAGGCAATATTTATGAGGTGATATCTTGACATTTCTAACTTCAATACAATAACATATACAATAATATACTCGGGGCAGCACGTTGGCTCAGTGGTTAGCACTGTTGCCTTACAGCAAGAAGGTCGCTGGTTTGAGTGCCAGCTGGGCCAGTTGGCATTTCTCTGTGGAGTTTGTATGTTCCTCTCGTGTTGGTGTGGGTTTTTTCCAGGTGAACCGGTTTCCCCCATAATCGAAAGACATGTGGTATAAGTAAATTATATGAACTAAGTTGGCCGTAGTGAATGAGTGTGTGTGTGTGTGAGAATGTGAGAGTTTATGGGTGTTTCCCAGTTCTGGGTTGCAGCTGGAAGGGCATCCGCTGTGTAAAACATATGCTGGAATGGTTGGCTTCATTGTGCTGTGGCGGCCCCTGATAAAATACTGGATTAAGCCAAAGGAAAATGAATGAATTCATATTTTTGGACAAAGTGAAACTGTGAAGGGGCAGAGACTGGGGTGGGCTGTAATGCTAGAATTGCTTTAATTGTCCTGAGGTGCATTTTACAAACAAATATGCAACTGGCTGTTGAAATTTCATAGTACAATTAATTGTTAAAGACACTAGATCATTATGTATACGATCACTATAAGCTGTTTAAACCGCATTTTTTTAGAACAGTCATTGGTGTTGTCACAAAGGTGGTAGAGTGATAACCGTAGCAACTTAATGAATATTATGTCAGATTATTGCTGTAAATAACCATGTGATCAAAGGGCTGTTCGCTGTTTTATTCTCTTTTATTATACAGGCTCCTTGAAGTTCCTCCAGGGTTCAGCCAGTACATCGCATATGCAAACTCTTCTAAACATCACTGTAAATCTCCTAACAAACTACTTTGACGAAGAATGTGTACTTCATGTGAAATGAAAGATATAGGTTTTACTGTAAGTATAATTTCTGTATATATAGATAAAATCAACGCAATATTACGGTAAATCAAAACTTTTTGAATTGGTGGCTAAATCATACAAATTCATAGGATCTAATTCGTACAATTTAATAAGATTTGCTCATCACCCAATGACGTTTGGGTTTAGGTATGGGGATGGGTGCCTTTATAAAATCGTACTAAATCAACTAAACTTGTACGAATTTGTATGAATTAGCCACTAAACTGACGAAATGTAAAATACTTTATTGTGAAATCAGGCTGAATAAAACACACAGCTTTTTCTATTGTGATGTACTGTCAATCAATCAATCAATCAATCAATCAATCAATCAATCAATCAATCAATCAATCAATCAATCAATCAACAGCATTTGTTAATCAACGTTTAGTTATAGGAAATCCACTGGTAATTTTCTGCCAGTACATTATCCATTTTTTATTCTGTCATATATTTCTATTGTGTTGCTTAATTTTTGAATGTCAAGATCTACTTAGAATTCGTCGACTTCAGAAACTATAAAATAAGATGCTATAGTTGTGGTTCTACTGTCTTGCCGTCAGGTACAATTTCAGTTGTTTCATGTTAACCTGGTACAGTGTAGCACAATTACACATGATAAACCATTCTTGGCCTGGAATTCTAGGCAAGGTCCGTGCTGAATCATACTACTAGCGTGCATGACATCAATACTCTGTTGCCTGGCTGCCAGTTCTCCACAGATGGCCAGCCGAAAGCATGCTATTTATTAAATTATTTAT